GCCCGGCTATTTTTTGGTTGCAGCCGTCATTGTTGTTTGGCGGGTCCGGGCTGGGGATTCGAACCCGCCACCTTTAGGTGTACGTGGCTGGCGCCTTAGCCGGTTGAGCTATAGGCACCGAGCCTTCACCTTGATTCTTTAAGATTGCTTTGGCTCTGTAGTCCCAGCTACTCAGGAGGCTGAGGGAAGAGAAAAGCCTAAGCCCAGGACTTGGAGGTTACTGTGAGCTGTAATGTCACAGCAACTCTACTGAGGGTGAGAAAATGAGACTCTGTCTCTTTAAAAATAAAAAAAAAAAAAGCTTGGCTATCCAAAGTCCTTTGCATTTCCATATGCTTTTAGAATCACCTTGTATGTTTCTACATGTGTATGACCTTCTAAATTTTGATCTCATATACATGTACCTATTGTTATTTAGGGTTCAATAAATCCCTTTTCTTCCACAATCATTTGTAATGGCATTAAAAGTTTGATTGGAAGGTTCTTATATTGACTTTTTTTTTTTTTTGAGACAGAGCCTCAAGCTATCCCCCTGGGTAGAGAGAGTGCTGTGGCATTACAGCTCACAGCAACCTCCAACTCCTGGGCTCAAGCGATTCTCTTGTCTCAGCCTCCCAAGTAGCTGGGACCACAGGTGCCCACCACAACGCCCAGCTATTTTTTGGTTGCAGCTGTCATTGTTGTTTTGGCAGGCCTGGGCTGGATTTGAACGCACAACCTTAGGTTTATGTGGCCGGCACCTTAGCCACTTGAGCCACAGGCGCTGAGCCTATATTGACTTTTAACCAGGGCTCTTGTGATAGAAACTAAAAATACTCTATTAGATTCTCAAAATAGATTACCATCTTATGATTCAAATTCTCCGTATGTTTAATCCACAGATATTAAAATTCAGAAAATAATTGGAAAGTCATTATATGATTAGTCAATAGCAGTTTTCCTAAAAACTGACATTGAAAACCTGCTGGGATTTTTAAATAATTATTTACATCATTTTATGTGAAAAGATATGTCATCTTTTTAATATATTATATATGTATCTACTGTTCATCTAAAATGTAGACAAATGTTATCACTCCAGGCTTAAAGGAGAAAGATTTTGAACTGATTTTTATGATAACCTTTTTTTTTTTTTTTTTTAATTACAGGGCGTCATCGTTGTATTGGGGAAAATTTTGCCTATGTTCAGATTAAGACAATTTGGTCCACCCTCCTTCGTTTATATGAATTTGATCTCATTGATGGATATTTTCCCACTGTGAATTATACAACTATGATTCACACTCCTGAAAACCCAGTTATCCGTTACAAGCGAAGATCACAGTGAAGAAGGCTGCAAGGAACTAATAATGGGATACATCACTGTAAGCTGCAAAAGCACTTGAAGAGAGTGGAGTTTATGAAATAACTATGACATAGCAACTGGTTTTTTTGAGTGTGTGATTCTAAAAGCCAGTTCAACTTAATGTTTTTAATATTTGAATAACTGAATGGTTCTGTCAGGTCAATGGCATTTGAGACATTTCTAAGTTTTGATACTTACCACCTACGTGTACTTTAAGAAAGTTTATTTTGTAAAAAAATTGTTCATGGGGTCTAGATAATTGGTAGGTCCTAAGTAAAGCAGTTTCAGCTCTTGGAACATAAGTTCAGCGTATTCAAATGTATCCTAGTTCTGCAAGGTATTAAAAATTAATTTAAAAAAGCACAGTGAGATAAAAAAAAGCCACAGGTTATTCATTTATCTGGGCAACTTTGTGTGTCATGATGGGAGGGTAAGGAATAAACTCACATCTAAAGCCTTGAATAAAACAGAATATTAATTGTTTTGGTATGATGATAGCAGTGCAGCTGTATTTTGAAAAAAAAAATATGTATCCTTTGAGCTTTTTAACTGAAAACACTGTTTATATGAAATTGAGAGAAATCTAGGACCATACTTGATAATATCTCCTGAAAATAATGTAATTACCAATGCTAATGACTGCTCATGTATCTAGATTTAATTACTTAATATTACATATTTATAAATATGTATCTGGTTCTACAAGGTTCACATTCAAAAAAATTTCCTTAGGGAATAATTTATTTTTTCTCTATGGGTCAAGGTGATTTCCTGCTTCTTTTCCAGAATCCAATTAGGGATGTTTCTGTTACTCTGTTGATTAAAATAATTAATAAAACTTAAAAAAATACAAAATGTGACATCAGGGAACTCTGACTTTAAGGTAAGGTACTATCTTAAAGCAGGGTCCTTGGGAATAGTATGATAGGTCACATTTTAAAGCCTGTTCAGGAATCCACTTACCTCAAATTATAACTGCAGGCCCAACTATGTGAGGTATCTGTAGTTTGACTAGATAGTCTGGTTTTACTAGGTGAGGCCGAGGGTTCTCCCTTATGTGTATGATAGTCCTGTATAAAAAGCTGGAAGACGGACTGTTGAACTGTAACTGTAAAGGAAGAAATCTCTTTTGTTAGCCAATTTCTCACATTAAAATCTTCTTTGAGAAAAGCAGACTCTGTATTCATGGATTTTAAAGTATTTGCTTTAGTTTTAGTGAGTAGAGTTCAGGGAATCTAGGGATTTGAGTAGGGAAAGTTATATCTTTACTTCCATGAGTTTCTAGTTATAATTTAGTATTTCCTTCAGTTATGAATTCAGACAACAAACTATACTAATATTAATACCCACGATCTTGCCAGTATAAATCAGATATTTTTGTATAGTATTACAGATTTTGCAGATCTCTTCGTTTGTTTTCATCACTACTTTGAAATTAGTAAGTAATCTAATTACTGCCAGATTAGTAAGATCTATTAACCTACTGCCAGACCTTATTTGATGCTTTAATCTTATGTATATCATAATTTAAAAGTTTTGACTTATTTTTTATATAATTGGTATCCTTTTGTAGTCCTATATGTATTTTATATTTTCAAAACCATTATTCTGAGAAGGGATCTAGAGTCTCACCAGACTGGTAAGTTAAGAACCTGAGGTAAGGCTAGTCTGTGTAGTAAATAGTTTTAGAGTCAAAGAGGTTCAGTTTTAGAATAATTACTGAGAAGCATGAGTAAGTTTGATCACAGAGGCTTAATACCATAAGGAGGGTTGATGGTCAAATAATAGGTGTGAACCCAGTTTGATAGAGCATTTGTCTTTTTTCTCTCTTATCCCCGATAGCAGAATAGCCTTGAATGGCAAGGCAGCCATTCTAGCTGAAAAAGGTTTTTACTTAGCCTCTTTTTGGAATCTGGCTGCTCACAGGAAAAGTTTTAATTGGCCCTTTGTATCTGTGGGTTTGTATCTGAGGATGTATCTGTGTCCTCCATTCAACCAACTGCATGCTGAACACACATTATCCTTTTATTTTGTATTTTAAAATATCAACTATATAGAATTTCTATGAATAATCTAAAGATGATTTCATGCACATGGGAGGATGTGCATAGGCTATATGCAAACACTACATCATTTTATAAGTGACTTGAGCATCCAGAGTTTGGTATGGGGGGGCGGGACAACTGCAATTAGAAAATTTTGAGAATGTACAACTGGTTACAGTGCTTGTTTGTGTTGGCATAAATCACAGAACATCAAGTAATAAGACAATTACCTCTGGATGTAAGCATCAAATATTATTCTTACTATTTTAATAATTTACTAAGGGGAGGAGTGCAGATAAATAACTTTGGGATTTGTATTGTATCTGTAAGAGCTTCTCAATCCGTATATGGCTTGAAAAGCAGGGATACTGTACCTAATTCTGCTGTGCATTGTGATGAAGATTCTTTTAAGAAGATTTTAAGTGATTTCTGCAGTATCTTAGATTCTTTTAAGTGATTTCTGTAGTATCTTAATGAGCCATGGATTTGTAAGGACACATCTTTGGATATAGGTAACACTAAATGTAATACAGTAAATATGGATACATTGAGACAATACCAATATAGCTTTTTAAAAATATTACAAATAGATGTAAAGTTGATAACAGAGGCATATGCAAAATTTCCTTCGGAGGGAGAGAGAAACCCCAATGGTATCTAATTGTAAGATTAGGACAACTGTCTCTCCAGATCCTTAAGTCATACATACTATATTTGTGATAAGTTAAAAATGAAAAAGGTTCAAATACAGTGTGGTGAAAATGGTGAAGTCATTTTTATTTCAGTACTTGACAAAATACCCCATAAAATTCAAAACTTCTACCATTATACAAAAATAGGTCTCTACAAGTGATATTATCTGTCTTCATCACCAGTAGCAAATATATTAGGCAGAAACAGGGAACTTCAGTAGCCTTGTAAGAAGTGCAGGACACCTCAGCTACACATTCAGCAGTATTATAATGTGTAAAGTTTAATCTTTTCATCCATTTGATAAATACACAAGGTTTATAATTTAATGTTTTAAATTAGCATTCCACAAATATACATGTAGTTTAATGATTACTGTGCATGAATACGCACAATGTTTATATATACAAATTCCAGTTTGTTTTCATGTTCTGGTGAGGGATTTGTATACAATCATAAGCTGTGTTTGTACTGGTCCCATTGAATATTCACAATACAAAAGCACAAAAGAACCATTGATTTACAAAAGGAAATTTGTTTAAAATCATCAATTAATGATGTTTCAAAGGATTATCTTCTCATGCCAGCATGAAATTGAGTAGTTGAACCTATAAAAGAAAAGCAGGACATTTAAATGGTTTCAAATTAGGTTGCTGCATACCCATATCAGATTAATTCAGGCAAAGCACATTACTATTGTCCTCTATTAAAAAATAAATTCTCTCTTTCCCCTCTTTTTTTTTTTTGGCAGTTTTTGGCTAGGGCTGGGTTTGAACCCACCACCTCTGGTATATGGGGCCAGCGGCTCTACTCCTTTGAGCCACAGGTGCTGCCCCTCTCTCTTTCCCCTCTTAAATGTCCTAGTCACACTTGCACTTATTTTCAAAAGAGATTTTGAATATATATTTAAAAGTTAATATGACTGGCTCTATACCAAGAGATACGATTAAGTATTGGTATTAGCAAGACTAGTTAAGAGTTTCTTCACAGTCTGAAGTTGAATGCTATATATATATATGCCTCCATCTTAAAAAATCTTATAGTCTTCAAAATCTAGATCTTATGAAATTTGTATGCCCAAAGCAAAACAAGCCAAGCCAACCAACAAACATGCTTCAGCTATGATAATATAGTTTGCTATTACTACAAGTGGCTGAGGTTAAACAACTTATTTTTTGAGTGAAAAGATACTTAACCTAGAAAATAGCCTATAGATTGGTCTAGTATTAAAAAAAGGTTCTTAAAAGTAAAAGCATGAAACAGCAGTTCTCAACCTGTGGGTTGAGACCCACAGGAACTGTATTAGAGGGTTGCAGCATTAGGAAGGTTGAGAACCATTGACGTAAAAGGCGTAAGTTTTTTTTGTGTTTTTGAACAAAAAATGAAAGATGGTTCTTGCAAAATCTTTTAAATGGGATAGATTTTTTGATTAAACATAAGACCACAATGGAATAAGAGGAATAATGACTATATCAAGTGCTTCCTCCTCCCTCCATACCAATTCGCACACCTTACTGCTTTCCAACAAGCATCACTTAGGATATGCTCTCCAGGGGACTCAGCCTCAGAGTGCACTGCATGTTGGTTCTCACTGCTTTTTGTTTAATCTGCTCAATGAAGATGGCAGAAATTCTTTTTTGGGGAAGTGGGATCCAGGGTGATGAATGTGTCTTGACTTAAAACCTTTACATTCGGTTTCTCTGCAAGTTACACTGGGTTTAAGCTTTGGCTAATTTAGTAACTAATGCACTGAATTGGAAGATTTGATTATCCTAATGATGAGGGTCAAGCAGTTTCAAAAAGAGAGGAGAGGTGTGGGTCTAGAACCATGGTGCTGCCGATGCCCGGTTAAACTTTGAGTACCTGATTGTACGGTTCCAAGTCGTCTTTGCAGTGCCTCTAGCCGAGTGATATAATCTGTCAGGGCTCTGTCAGGATCATAATTCTGGAGTTGAGAACATGCTAAATAACTAGGATTTAAATCAGCTGGAGTGCCTGGGTACCTACAGGATTAAAATTACGTACAAAAATCTAAATTATCCAGAAACAATGCAAGTAAATTACCAACCTGCCTCCACCTACTTCCCCCAAAAGGTAGGCCACTGTACACTGCCTCATGTATATCTACTCCATGCTCTTGAGTTTGGGATGAGAAAGAAACTCTTCATCAATGAATTTAAAGAAGCCACTAATCATCATAGCAATACCCAGTACGGTGCCTGTTGCAGAGGTCCTCAATAAATGTTAGGAGTGTATAAATGCATCTCATCATGCAGATTGTAGAGGTTTTCATTATGGTCAGAGACTACCAATTTTAGGCAACATTTTTCCCGATGTCTGTCTAATCACAGCATGTCTCACTAACACTTGGTCAGCTGTTTCCTAAATCCTTTGAAACAAAGGGATGATGACTATAGTAAGTTTTTGAATTTCTAACTGGTTATGAATTTTGAGCCTTAGATTATATAAATTATACGTAACTAAAGATGTCTAGCTAACTCAGTGCAAAGAAGTCAAAGCTCAAACAATAGCCATCTTTCTCTATTAAATATATTTAACCATTCCACACAAGTTTTCTCAAATTCTTACCTATTTTGAAATGGTAAAGGAGACCTAGGATAGTCCAGATCTGATCTTGAGCGATACGCAGTTTGTCTCGGCTCTCCATATAGCTCAAGCCCACCAGAAGAATGATAAAATGGGTCAGTTTTTTCAGCACCTAAAGTAATCCAAAATACAACCTTGTAAAGAAAAATTTCCCAAGCCCTTGAAAAATTTTTATGAAAAAGAAGAGCCTAAAAGACCATTACACTGTACTATGCCACTCTCTCCTACTTAGTCATTTTCAATTATTTTTACTAGAAGAGAGAAATGACAGTACAAAAAATATTTGGCTTTCAAATGTTGTTTACCTTTGAATATGAGTTATTTCTGATATCTGGAACTATGCCTCAAAGAATTAACTAATTGGAGTATTTCTTTTCAAAAGACCTCTTGGGTATAACTAGATGAAAGGTGAGAGGTATATGAGTGTGTATCTTGTGAGTGAAAAGATGAGGATAAAAAAATTAGACTAATGTAACCAAGTCCTTTTATCATTCCAATCTACTCACTTATTGAAAAAAACTTGAAATCAAAATTTTCTAACTTAATACAACACAATATTGTATTTAATACAACACAATAACTCATTATTACAAATTTCAGCTGTTCATTGTAATATTTGAAAACACTTTGCTTAGGTTATCAAATGTGTTTCCTTTTTCTCTACTGTGGTTTAGTATCAATATATGGTACAGGTATGCTGTGTCTCCTGGCTTCTGACCTCACCTTTATGCCCCAAATATATAAGCCCTAATTTGTTTTCACTTCTAGATGTAGAGGAAAGGAATTTTAACTGCTACCATTACAGTAAACTCAGAAACCTGTTTGAAGATTGCTCAATTATGAAAACATCAAGCCATAACTCTTCATATAACTAACAGCAACCCTGCCTTGAAGCAAGGCCTTATTAAGTGTTGAAACAAGGAGACAGGGCTCTGGAGCCAGACTGCCAGTGTTCAGTCCTGGTTCCATCACTTCCCTAATGGTAATCTGGGGCAAATGACATGTGTTTTCCATGCCTCAATTTTCATCTCATTCAGAGAATACATGAAAAGAGCAGGCTCTAGAGCAGACTAAGTACAACATGTAATCAGCTATTACTCTAAGTCTTTTTTTTTTTTTTTTTTT